CCCTCCCTCTCTCCCTCTCTTCCCCTCTCCCCTCTCCTCTCTTATATATATATATATATAAGACAGACAGAAGAAATCACTGAATAATTCATTTTAGGACAAATGTGAATTTTTAAAGATGGCTTTTAAAGAATAAAAGATAATAGTTACTTTTCAGATACAAATGTAAGTTGAGAATACAGTTAACACAAGTAATTAAATGGTCACCAGATCTTACTGGTTTTCATCTTTGCTTCCCTTTCTTCCCACCTACCACAGAAATATATTGAGCAAGTTAATAACCAAGAGACTGGTTGCTAAAAAGAAAAAAGAAAGCCTTAAAGTTGTGTATCCAGAATAGTAATCCATTTTATATAGATTCTGCCCGTGTCCAAACACCGATTTGAGGAGGCTAGCTAGACTAGCAGAAAACAAACCATTGCGTACTTGGTAATCCACAGTTATCCCGGCCCAGCAGGGGCCTCATTCATTAACAGACTATGGCACTATTGACAAAGAAAAGCAGGATACATATTGTAATTTGAAATTGTAAGAGGTGAAAATTAAGTAGATACAGGTCTGAATATAATTAACGTAGTTTCTAACCAGTGCTTGGTTTCTAGCTACCATGTAACGTTTTGTTTTCTCTTTCTTTGAATGATGCTCCGCAGAGCCAAGAGTTGGCTTGGGCATTGGTGCCTGCTGTCTGGCTCTCGAAAACGGCCCCCCAGGTGTCTACATTCACAGCCTGGCCCCCGGGTCAGTGGCCAAGATGGAAAGCAACCTGAGGTTCGTTGTAAATTTGCTAATACAAGGGAGCTTCAAAAAGGTCAAAGAAAAAGATGGAATTAAAAGATAATGGCATTTTTCCACAAACTGTGAATTTACACAGATGTAAGATATCGACTCTATTACATTCCTCTATGGGATTCTAAATCTTTGAATTACTTAGACAATGATGAGGATGGAATTACATTTAATAGCATCTCCAAGAATGAAAACCAAATGAAATGTGGTTTCATTAGGAATTCGATAACTAGATCTTGGCTTAATATAGCATCCTACTCCTACCTATCTTATTCTAGTTGCTAAGTTTCAGACTTGACAAAACACAGTTCTACACAAATATCTATGATGCTCTAAAGTATTTTTTCCACTTCTGTATTCATTTATATAAAGTTTATATGCACTACAGGGATGTACTTGTAAGGATTCAGAATCACTGGACTCAAAATTCTGAAATCATGCCATGAGTGGGAAGCCCTTCTTAGTGTTGTCTCTTGAAAGTTTTCTATCTGAAATCACTGGGTGTCTATTTTCTCAATCCGGATTGGTGGGTTGTAGCATTAGAGAGACGTATGGGGATTCTGTGTATTAAAGAGCTGTGTAAGTATTCTGTATAAAGAGGAACTGCAATGAGTCTGTGCCCACCTAAACTTCACACAACTGTACACATAGTGCACAAAGCACCCTGTGCAAGCAATATCACATTTCACCTGGAAAAGCTTCTTCGACCTGGAGTCATTAAGGAATTGTCAACATTCCACTCCTAGTGGTTGCCATTTTTTTTAGTCCTGTTAATAGATTATATTATATTTTTAGTTCATCATCAGACTGTATTTCCATAGGAAAAAAATTAGCAAATCATCCAAAGTATATTAAAAAATATATACTTTCAGAACCCAAGGAAAAGCAAAAATCCTTTAATGACATCCCAAAATGATGTTTCTTTTTTGAATGGTTCCATATGTCTGGAGCCTGCCAAATGAACATTCTTCAAACCTCATATAAAGAGTCTTTGTTCTCTCATACTGAGTTCTCTCCCTATAATTTCAAGTTAAAATGAGCAGCTTGTCCCCAATTTCTCATTTGTTCAAATGTGAAACGTTTTTACAAACTCTTGAGTAACCTTTGAGCTTCAAATATTTCCTCCTTAAATTATATTACAAATAATCACTTCAAGATGGTAGGAAGAAAGAAACTGATGGTGGTTGATAGTGACGATATTAAGAGTCAGACCTTTGAGCCTGTGGCCGTATGTATATGATGACAATAATATCACTGATTCAAAGCATCGAAATGTAAATTACTTAGCACCTGGCACTTGGCGCATAGTACGTGCTCAAGAAACGGCAGCCTTCATTTTTATCCTTACTATCATTTGTATTTGACTTGACTGTTTATGAAATGTCGATAGATACACTTAATGACTTTGCCAACTGATAATCTAATTTGTTTTTGTGAATGAGTTGCCTTTTTTTACATGTATGCAAAGATGAAGGGGTGTCAGTTATTGTCAGGGTTTTGAATTGGTTCGTTCATTCGATCCTCAGATGAGATATGCCTTTCTACCCCCAGATATCATGGAGCTCTGCTAGTGTAGTGGTTACGAGTTGGACTGCTAACCTCAAGGTCAGCAGTTTAAAACTACCAGCTTTTCTGTAGGAGAAAGATGAGGCTTTCGGCTCCCGTAAAGATTTACAGCCTCAGAAACCCTATATAGGGTCACTATGAGTAGGTACAGACTCCATGGCACACCACAACCCCAGATAGACTGAATCAACAAATGAATAGGATCCCTAGGTGAGTGATTCTTACGCATACACGTGATAATCATTTCAAGATGGTAATTGTTAAGTGCCGTTGAGTGGAGTTGGTTTTGACTCATAGTGACCTATATAGAGTTTCCTACAACACCACACTAGGACTCCACAAAGATGGTTGTTGTTGTTATGTGCTGTGGAGTTGGTTCTGACTCATAGCACCCTGTACAGGGTTTCTGAGGCTGTAAATCTTTATGGGAGCAGAAAGCCTCATCTTTCTCCCGTGGAACACCTAGTAGTTTCGAACGGCTGACCTTACAGTTCACAGCCCAATTGGTAACCACTACGCTACCAGAGCGCCTTACAAAGATGGTAGGAAGAAAGAAATTGATAGTGGTCGAAGGGCTATCAATCAAAAGTGATGACAACATCAAGTCAGATTCTTAAGGATTCCCAGGCGATGTTTATGTATAAGAAGGCTCTTGTGAAAATGTAGATGCTGATTCAGTACATCTGGAGTGGAAATGCAACTTCTCAGTAGGGGGTCAAACCAGAATGAACTGGTTTAAAGCCCTGTGTGCTTCTTAAATATATATTTGGAAAGTGTTTCCCATTGTGAACCTCTCCCATGTGGAAATCATTTGCAAGTTGACCCTTACCACTGAGTGTTGGTTCTGTTGCCCTCCCTAGCCGCGGAGATCAAATCCTGGAAGTGAACTCAGTCAATGTTCGCCACGCTGCTCTCAGTAAAGTCCACGCAATCCTGAGCAAATGCCCCCCAGGACCTGTTCGCCTTGTCATCGGTCGGCACCCAAATCCAAAGGTGAAGTAATCACACTGTTCTCAGTGTGGGGAGGTGGTTGGGTGATTTATCTAGTAGCAGTGATGTGGTGCTGTGGATGAATGCATTGGACCACAAAGTCAGCAGTTCAAACCCACCAGCCACTCCTCAGAAACCCTTCACAGGGTCGCTATGAATCAGAACCGACTCAACAGCACATAACAACAGCAACAACAGTGGTATATTTGAGCTGGTCCCTCAGTACGCCTTACTGTAGTCATGTGTGTGTCTTAGGTATCTAATGCTGTTATAACAGAAATTCCACAAGTGGATGCTTTTAACACAGAGAAACTTATTCTCTCAGTTTACGAGGCTAGAAGTCCAAATTCAGACTGCTTGCTCGAGGCTTTTTATTTGTTATCTCTGGAGAATGGTCCTTGTCTCCTTTCAACATCTGTAGCTCCAACATTACTTGGAGATCTCCATGAATCTTCTCCCTGGATCCAGGAGCTTAACAATGCAGGAACCTCCAATGAAAAGGACGCACTCCACTCCTGACACATCTTTCTTGGTGGTAGTAGGTCTCTCTGAGCTCTGCTTGCTTGTTTAATATCTTTTCTATTTCAAAAGAGAGTAACTAAAGATACAATCTAATTATGTAGAGCACATCTGGCCTCATTAGCATCGTTGTTGTTAATGCCATTGAGCCTGTTCTGACTGGAAGCAACCTCATGCAGGTTTTTATAAATCCCTGCGGGAGCAGAAAGCCTCCTCTTTCTCCTGAGGAGTAGCTCGTGGGCTTGAATCACCAACCTTGTGGTTATCCTGCAGAGCCACAGAGCTCCCCCATTAACATCTTAGAAGTAAGAATTTACAAAACATACGATAATTACACCAGACCAGAGTTGATCACATCAGTCACATCATGGGGGAGATTACAATATATTAGATCTCATCGTGAAGGTAATAACTACATTTTAGCTGCGAAACCACTAAGAATCCTGGCCCAGGTAAATTGATACAAAGCTTTAACTGTCACATGACAGATTAGCTGGTGGGACAGTTCATCCAGTTGGGGATGGGGCTTTATCCTGTGGCTAGAGTGGCCAAGATACACATGGAAAATGAGCCACTGTCCTTGATGTCTTTGGTGTCACAGGCTTAGAAAAACAAAACCTCATTTTCTATAGTTGTTGAATTTAAAATTAGGTGTGTTAGAAAGTAGGAATGCTGCGTTCTGAGTAATTCCCAGCTGACTCTTTGATCTCTGGTGAGATTACTTATCCTCTCTGGGTTTGTGTATCACGAAACAAGGACCGTGTTTATCTTAAAACCCTTCTGGTTTTTTGCGGGATCATAATCTTTTGTTTGCCCACATATTGGAAATTATCTGTAAGTTTAAAACTAAGTAATTCGTTTTTTAAATAGATTTAGTGAGTTTTCAACTGTTCTCTCCCAGTGAAAAATGAGAATTACCAAGATTGAAATAGTATAAAAATACTTTTTTTAATAGTTGAAAGATGACTATAAGCTTGGATAAAATGCTCAATTCACATATATTAGTGGCTATATTTGCACATCTATAGAATTTCTCAGCTTCTTCAGACACTCTAAAAAGGAAAATAATGTCTTCAGATTTGAGGAGGAAAGTTTCTTAATATTCATCTGACTGTTTGTTGGGTCCAGAAAATACCTATTTATCTTATAAAGTGACTTTTCAAACAAAATTTGAACAAATGAAAATAAGATGATACTTGGCTTTGCAAATCACTTGCCTATTTGTTGGAAGATGGCCCTGGAGTAAACTGGGGTTGAGTGGGGAGAGTACAAGGCAGACAGACTTTCAGGCATCAAGACAGTGGAGTAGAAGGACTGTCCTTTCCTGTTTCTCCCCAGCCTGTGTGGTCTAGATTTTCAGCCCTCCACCTGAACATTTATGGAGTGTCCACTGTAATGAAACTACACAGCGCAGTTAGAATATATCTTTACTTAAGTCTACAAGCTAAGACCCCAAGCCCATTCCCACTGCCCTTCCATCAGATTCATTCCAACTCATGGCAACAATCCTAGAAGACAATTAGAACTGCCCCCAAAGGGTTTGCAAGGTTATAAGACTTTATGAAAGCAGAGTGCCAAATCTTTCTCCCATGAAGCGATTGGTGGGTTTGAACAGCTGACCTTTGGGTAAACAGGTAAGCAGTTTACTCACGTCACACACCCCACCTCCAGGGCTCCTTCAGTCTAATATTAAAATATTATTTTGTGGAAAATATTCATAACAAAACACATACATCAATTCAACAATTTCTGCATGTACGCTTCATTGACTTTGATTTCATTCTTCAAGTTGTGCTATCATTTCCATGCCTTCTTTTCCACTGTTAACATAAACTCACTGACCCCTAGTTTCCTATTGTTGTTGTTGGCATTTTTATCCCGTATACATCGCCCTTTCAAAGAGCATGATGCTCCAAGCCAACATGTTTTACCAATTAAGCGGAACAATTGTACTACAACAACGCTGTTTGGTTTAAAGAAGACTTCAGGGGATATTTTTGGTTTCAGGCTTAAAGATTATTTCAGGACAGTCGTTTCAGGGGTTCATCCAGCCTCCATGGCTCCAGAAAGTCAGAATTCCACGAGGATTTAAAATTCTATTCTGCACTTTTTCCACTTTTGATCAAGATTTTTACAGTGGTTCTTAACCTGAAGTCTGTGGACCCTTCCAGGGACTTAATGAATTGTGCAAATTGAGGGTCATTTGCATTGAATTCTATGACGTCAATAGTTTGTGTCACATTCACAGTCATTCATGACTCAAAAAATGTTCAGACCCATTTTGTGAGGCTGTGAGGGCTTTACAGGGGCCAGACAGGTGAAAGAAGAGACCAGGTTAAAGAGTAGCCGCCCTCTGTTCCACTGTCTGACGGGTCTTCCTCTTCTGTCAGTCCGTCAGGGGCCTGAGGTGACAACTTTCACTGAAGGCCTGAGAGCTCATTTGGTGTCTTTCAGGATCTCTGCTGACCCATGTGACCTTGCAAGTGGTCGTAACCACTCTATCATTGGCCTCAGCTGTTACTTGGTCATAGTGCCTTTTTTTTTTTAAGCTAACCAGCTGCTTCATTAAGTCCAACTGAATGTCATCAACCCACATTGAGTACAGCTTTTTTTTATTGTTGTTGTTTTGAGCACTTGTGGTAAAAGACCTTTTAAACTGGCTTGTCTCTGACTTTGTAATCAGGTTGTGGTCAACAGTATTTGACCTTTTTTTTTTTTAAACAACCCACATACTCACTAAGATCATTAGCTCTTACCCATGTTTGTAATCTGGCTACTCCCCTGTACCATTTGTGGTATTATTCGATTGTATGCTAAATGGTCCCAGGCACTGTGAACCATCTGAAGAGTAAGAAGTCTACTGAGAGGCCTTGTGGGTTCTCCTATATGCCAAGTCTGAGATTTCCTTCATGTATTCACTTTGGGTCATAATTGAGCGTCTCTGTGGTGTGTGTTTGTAGTGATTCACTCTCCAATACAAGTGAGTGCCCTGGAGTTGTGACGTCATACCTTCTTATGGAAATGTGACGTCCACTACACTATTTGGATAAAGATCACCATTTGATCCATTCAGAGTCTACTCTGCTACACTTTTTTAAGATTGTTTGATCATTAATGTTGTTGTTAAGTGCTGTCGACTCATAAGGACTCTGAATAGCAGGGGTGGGGAACCATTTGTCTGCCAAAATTTATAACGTCAGTCACAGGCCATACAAAATTATCAACTTAAAAATTGTTTTGTTGTTATGTGCTGTGGAGTCAGTTCTGACTCATAGAGCCCCTGTACAGGGTTTCCAAGGTTGTAAATCTTTATGGGAGCAGAAAGCCTCATCTTTCTTCCACAGAACAGGTGGTAGTTTCAAACTGCTGACGGTGAGGTTCGTAACCACTACGCTACCAGAGCTCCTTAACTTAAAAATTAGCCTGCTAAAAAAAAAATTAGCCTGCTATATTTGGCCAAACATTTTGTTAACTCATCCCTAATGTGGGACTTCTGGTGTGGCACTGTAGGTTAATGCGCTGGACTGCAAGGTCGGTTTGAACTGCAAAGTCAGCAGTTCAAGCTCACCGTCCGCTCCTTGGAAACCCTATACAGGGTCGCTATGAGTCAGAACTGACTTGATGGCACTTAACAACAACCATGTGGACATGCAGTTGCGTTGGCAGGGTCAGACCAAATGATTTTGAGGACCTTATATGGTCCACGGACCAAATATTCTCACCCCTACTGTACAGTTTCCCAGGAGTGGCTGGTGTGTTTAAACCACCAACCTTGCAGTCCAGTGTTTATCCTACAGTGCCACACCAGGACTCCTTTAAGCATCTGACAAATGTCTTACATTAAAATGCCCTGACTAAAATATAAAATCAGATCTTGCTTCCACCATTGTCCATTTTTTCCTACTTCTCACTTCCTGTTGTCTTCTTTCTGTTCTGTGGTCGGGGAGCCTTCCCCTAGGATGTGTGGTTTGGGTCCCCTGCTGTCCTCGTGGCTCTCTTCCGGCCACTTTTACACTACTTTACCTCCTATTGACAGCAAGAGTGGTTCTCAGCTCTTTCCTCCATTGTCTTCACTGGGAGCCCATCACCTACATTGCCTCCTTTCACTTCAGGAAGCGGCCCAATAGGCCGTGACTGCCTTAGCAGGCCCCTTAGCAGCATTGTGAGCATTTAAATTCTCAGTGGTTTGCATTCATTAGCTCTTGGCATGTCTGACTTCAGAATCCTTTCCAGGATAACATGGGTCATGATTTGTTTGGAGATCCAATTCATCTCAGACTGAAAATGTCTGCCTAATTTGCCAATACAGACATCAAAATGGCATTTCAGTGCAAAGCATGATGATCCTGAAGGGCTGCTGGTCTGTGAACCTTGAACACATACTTCCAGTCATGTTTCTGGCCACAGTAAAATGGTCTTATGCTCTGGCATTGGAGATGTGTTCAGCAAAACCAAATGTCAGAAGTTGGCTGGATTTCACATTTCTTTCTAGGTAAACATGGTGTTCTTAGCTGTAACATCATACTATATTTTCCTTTTAGTCAAAGCTCCATTTTTTTTGTTGAATGTATCTTTGTACCACTTACCCCAGCATTTCATGCCAACAGTACATTTTGATATTGAATATATGTACTTCCTTGGTTTTCATGTTATTCCAAGATAAATACCACAAGAAGTTTTCTTCTGTTTCTCATAACCAGAGCCCTGGCTGCCCTGCTGGAGTAGTCAAACCCAAGGTCTAGACAAGCTAAAGGAGCAGTTTCTAGGTTATGGTAAATAGACTAAACCAATAAAGGCTCATTTTTAATTAGCACAGGAAGTTTCAGCATGCTTAGAATTATCCAAGAAACCCTTTACTCATTTCAAACCCCAACTGTTTTTCCCCACTGAGGAAAAAAAAATGCATATATTGCAAATATTGAAAGTCTTGAACCAAGGAAAATAGCCACCGTTTAACATTTCCTCTGACTCTTTCATACATTGTTGTTAAGTGCCGTGGAGTTGGTTCTGACCCATAGCAACCCTGTATAGGGTTTCTAAGGAACAGCTGGGAGTTTGAACCAAGTTTGTGGTTCAAACCAACCTTGTGATCCAATGCTTTATCCTCCACCAGGGCTCCATTCATACATTGTTACTTTGCTATATAGAGGGTAGGAGTTCTAGTGTGGCACTGTGGATTAATACACTAGACTGCAAGGTTTGATTGAGCCAAAAGGTCGGCAGTTCAAGCTCACCACCGCTCCTCAGAAACGCTATACAGGGTCACTGTGAGTCAGAACCAACTTCACGGCACTTAACAACAATATGAAGATATGTGTGTATATGTACGTGGATTTGCCTGAGTGTGTACACATTATTCTCCTGAGAGCCTTATTATACTATGTAAAGGCCACAGTATAATTATGATGTGTTCATTCGGTTACACTAATTCTTTATAGAAGTTTATATGGACGTATTCATTTACTGCTTAGAAAAAAATTACTGTGTTTATAATCCAAGTGTTATTTATGCTGAATGTTATTTTAGTACATAGAATTACCATTCCAAGTGCAAAAATATTCTTACCTTTGGAAAAAGAAATTCTATGAAGTTTTCTGGTTGTCTTTTAAAATACCCTACATTTCATTGTAAATTAGACTCAAATTCCCTTATAAGTAAGGATAGTCATGGATAACAACACATTTTTATAAAGCCGTCATGTATCATGATACCAGTAAATACAAAGGGGCATCATAATGTTCATGGGAAAAATCCATTATCTTTAAATTCAATTTTTCCACAAAGTTTTTGGAGCATCCTCAGATAAAAGGAAGAGCTACAAAACTTGCTATTTTGAAAACATCAAAGCAATAATCGATTCAGGAAAGAGTAATCAATGGATGCTAAAACCTTTGGGAGAAGAGTATTTACACAGCCTCAAAACGATCTGACCAGAGATTACACCTTAATGGCAAAGATAATCCTCATCCCAGTGAAGAAATTCGGCAAATCCCCTAATCAAGAGGTCAAGGTTCTCATCACCAGTAATGAGACGGGAACACTGGGGCCTCTGGGATGCCCTGAGAAGGAAATCGTGTTGTTATTTCTGCCCCCCACCCCCCCCCCCCCCCCCCCAAAAAAAAAAACATCATCTGAATCTAAACTTGAGGAAACTTTCTGTCAAACAAATCCCAGCTGATGGTTTGGATGGCCTTGGACTCTTCCCCAAAATATGTATCTCACTAGACTAAGAAAATCTAAGGAACTGATTCTGATTAAAGGAAACTAAAGGCATGTGACATCTAGATCCTGGCTCCCCTACCTTGCTATAAAGCATGACTAAAAAAAGAAGTTGGCATTCTGCTAAGGGGCTGCATCAGACTATAAGTCAGTTTTAAATGAAATTTAACTTTTTATGTGATTAGTACGATTATGCCCATCTTGGATGTCTAACTTGTATCCCATTCCATACCCTCACTGAATACTTAATAAACTGTTCACTTGGTTTTCTGGGTAGCATGGTAATTACTGGACTAGTATAAATGTGTTCAATGCTGTTTGAGAAATTGGATTAAGAAAACAATAAACCACAATTGCAGAGTGGGGGAAAAAGAAGAATGTAAGTCAGTTACATCACCAGGCACTTGCATTGGCATTTTTCCCTTATTAAGGTATGACTGATGAAGGAAATTGCATGTTGATTGGCATGGTAGAGGACATTTCTTTTTTCAAAGCAGACCAGCATCTAGCATCGTATGAACTAATTCCAGTCTGTGAGCCACACTTCTAAAGGACCAGCATCTAGCATCGTATGAACTAACTCCAGGCATACTGTGAGTCACACTTCTAAAGGACAGTAGTGGGACAATTGGCTAAAATCGAATCTGAAAAGTATGTTAGACAACATTATCAGTGGTTACATTTCCTGGTTATTTAAGAGAATGTCCTGTTCTTAAGAGAAAGATGCTAAAAGTATTTATGGTGAAGGATTATGATGTCTGCACCTTATTTCAAATGGTTTCGCAAAAAACCATAGCAATGTATACGTGTGTGACTATAGAGAGAAGTCATGTGTGTAAATGTGACAGAACGTTTACCTTTACTGACTCCAGGTGAAAGGCACGTATTCTTATACTACTCTGGCTTCTATTCTGCAGTATTAAAATTTTTTTTTATAAAAAGAAAAAGTTGGAAGTGAGCATTCCAGAGAGTAGCAGATACCAGCCATGTTGGTGGTAGTCATAGCCCGTGACTGCACTGCTTAACTGACTTGGGAACCAGTTGAAGGTCTTGTTACATATGCATTGTTTTGAAGCAATCCGTTAATCCAGCTTTACGAGAGAGCTTCAAAAGTTCATGGAAAAAAGAAATTAAAAGGTGATGGAATTTTTCCACAAGCTTTTTGAAACCCCCTCATACTTGTTGTTGTGAAGTGCCATGGAGTCAGTTCTGACTCATAACCACCCTATATATGGTTTTCAAACCTGTAAAAAAATAAAAATTTGCAGGCGCATGAAGCCTCATCTTTCTTCCATGGAGTGGCTGGTGGGCTCAAACCATAGACCTATGGTTCACAGTCCAGTGCTTATCCTACAGATTGATCACACTCCCCTCGACTTCTCATCTGTTCTGAGGGTGACCATAAGAGTTGACCTGTAATTTGTTTTTTTATCTTCATTCAACCTCTGACTCTGGTTGTGGCTGCTTGTATTGGGGGAAATAAATAAAACCATCTAATTTGTGCTTTCTACTGAAAACCAGGTTTCTGAACAGGAAATGGATGAAGTGATAGCACGCAGCACTTACCAGGAGAGCAAAGAGGCCAGTTCCTCTCCCGGCTTAGGTACAGTAATCGCACATTTTCATTTAACATTCAGAAGAGTTTCTCATTAAGTTCCCCCATGGGGCACTACCCAATGCAATAGTATTGGATTCTGTGTAATTATCAGGTTAGGCAAAAGTAGCTGCCAAAGAAATTCTCTGCATCCTCTTGGGGACTGCTCTTGATTTCTGCAGTTACTTAATGGGTTCCATCAAAGATCTAATCATGCATGCCTCATCAACTACTTTCCAAAGAGAGTTTGCAGCATTTCATGTGGTTATGCACGATTCATCTGGGTGACAATATATGGCACCAAAACATCAGTTGTTTGGTAGATGCAGAAATTTATCCATCCCAAACTTGGGATTTCACTCCATAAATTAAAATCTTCAACTCAAAATTGAGTAACAAAGATGCAAAAATTATGATTTCTCCTGTCTTAAGTAGAAAAGTTCAGACGGAGAATGAGTAAAATCGTAACAATTCCATATGAGCTTAAATTACAAAACATTGCTTCAAGTTTTTGAACTAATGGTTCCTATAACATGGGGACCTAAAAGGATCCTTCAGACAGTCCTGCGTGTGAAAGCCTTCTGGTGTGAAGATTACTTTCAGAAGGAAAAAGAACTGAGTTAGTGGTTGTCAGAGGAACAGGGAGGCATAGAAGTGTTTGGCAACCTTGGAATACCCTGACGATTTGAATCCATGGTTAGTATGTTTAAATGAGCACACAGACACCATCATCTCTTCATTCAGTGAGTTCATTACCCTGACCTGCCTGGAAGTCTTTCTGTCACCACCTTGTTTCCACTTGATCATTGCTGAAAAAGTGTGTTAAGCCATGATCCTCAGGCCCAAGATCTTTTTATCAATGGCTTAAAGTCTAATGCTGAGCCCTTTCATTCTGTCATTCAAAACCTAAAGGGTTATTCAGCCCTCTCCCCAGTTCTTTCATGTTTTCCTCGGAGGATGTTGATTTGTTTATTCATCCTTCAGTCCATTCAGCAATATCACTGAAGTTAGGTACCAAGTGTGATGCTGAGATTAGTGAGCATCTCTGCTCTGTACGAACTGAATCTGTTGAAGAAGGGAGATAAGTCACACCCATTTCTAATTAATGTGTACTACTTCTGTGGAAATTGATGTATAAAATACTTTGGAAATTCTGAAGAAGAGATTCTTTCCAGCTGGGGTCACCATACAAGTAGCAGCATGTGAGCTGGGGCTTGAAGGATGATCAGACTTTTGGGAAGTGGGATGGGATGGATATTGGGTACCCATATAGATTGAATACATGTCTATTACCTATTCACATGGTCCATCAGAACTCACCAAGCAGAGGAAATGTTGTTTACTATGTTTGGCTCCATGCTTTTAGTTAAAGATGTGAGCCTAGTTGTGATTTGATCTTCATTGTTTTGATAATATGATCAATCTCCCCCCAAATAGGTACTCCCTTGAAGAGTCCTTCTCTGGCCAAAAAGGTGAGTCGGGCACACTCACTGTCTCATTCAGCTTGACCTCAAACCACTTCCCACCAGTATGTCAATCATAGTGACCCCATTAGCAGAACTGAGCTCCATGGGGATTTCAGTGGCCGGTCCTTCAGACTTACACTATTAGGCCTTTTTATATGAGGTGCCTCTGAGTAGATTTGAACCTTTAACCTTTTGGTAGCAGCTTATGCACATTAGGTGTTTGCACCATCCATGGACTACAAAACTTCTTCCAGGAGCCCATATAATTAGCCTGAGGGCCCAGCCCATATTTTTATCAATAAGCCATTTTTGCTCTTTTATATGGAAAATGACAGCAACAGTGTGTATAAACCATCACTGAAAAAAGCAATGCTAATTTAAGAACCAATATACATGTGTGTTTCTTCTAGCAAATATTGATCAGAGCAACAAAAGAAAAGAACTGAACTCTAGTTTGAAAACTACCTTTTTTATTTTCAAACTGCTCCATGATAGCGGAATGGGCATCTTTGAGACCTGAGTTTTAAAACTGTGCAGGCTTCCTTAGCTGAGTTCTTCCCAAATCCAAATGGATCGGGGTGCTTGGTTCCACTGTTTTGTTTCATCTGCTGACTGGACCACTTGACTTTGCGATTCTATTCTCTTTTTCTACATACCCTACTCCAACTTTTGTTTTTTTCTATTGTATTAAGTTTCTTTTTTTTTTAAATTTAAGGTTTTTATTGTGGTTTGAGTGAAAGTTTACAGGGCACATCATCAGTTTCACATTCAACAATTCATATAACTTGTTTCATTACATTGATTATAATCCCCTCCATATACCA